GCTGGAACTACAGACACATGCCACCACACCCAGCTAATTTTTTGATTTATTGTGGAGACAAGGTCTCACCAAGCCACCCAGGCTGGTGTCAAACCGGGTCAGGCAATCCTCTCACTTCTGCCTCCCAAAATGCTAGGCGTGAGCCAGTGCGCCTGGCTGATTTTTTTTTTTTTTTTAATGTTAAACTCATCTTGTAGTCTTGTGATAAACCTCATTACATAGTACATTATCTTTTGGGGTTTTATTTGCTAAACTGTTGTTTAGAATTTTTGCATTTATGTTCATGAAAGATATTGATCTTTAATTTTCTTTTCTTGTAATGTATTTATTTGTCTGCTCTTGTTATCAGGGTAATGCTGGCTTTATAGAATCAGTTGGTAAGCATTCCTTTTTTTTTTTTTTTTCAATTTTCTGGAAGAATCTGCATATAATTAGTAGTATTTCTTCCTTAATGTTTGGAGAATTCACCAGTGAAGTCATTTGGGCCTGGAGTTTTCTTTGTGGGAATGTTTTAAACCAAAAGCTCAATTTAAAAAATAATTATAGGGCTATTCAGGTTATTTTTTTGTTTGTTTTTTAGAGACAGGGTCTTGCTATGTTGCCCAAGCAGGACTCAAACTCCTGTGCTCAAGTGATCTTAAGTAGCTGGGACTAACAGGCATGCGCCACTGTCCCCAGCTGATTATTTCTTTTTAAGTGAGCTTTGATGGTTTGTGTTTTTTGAAGAATTTGTCCATTGCACATAAAGTGTTGCATTGTTGGCATAAAATTTTCCATATATTTTCTTATTATCCTTTTAATGTCTACAGAATCTGTTTTGATGATACCGCTCTCATTTTCATACTGGTAATTTGTGTCTTCTGGAAGTTTATCGATTTTACCAATTGTCTCAATAAACCAGCTTTTGGTTTCATTGATTTTCTCTATTCTTTTCTGTTTCCCAAGTCATTGATTTCCACTCCGATTTTTATGATTTCCTTTGACTTACTTTAGATTTAATTATTTTTCTTATTTTTCTCGTTTCTTAAGGTAAAAGCTAAGATAATTGGTTTAAAACTTTTCTTTTTTTTATAATAACAGCCATCTAGTGTAGTGAATCTCCCCCTCTAAGTATTGCTTTAACAGTATTCAACAAATGTTGATGTTGTGTTTCATTTCAGTCCATTCAAGATACTTTCTAATTTCTCTTTTGATTACTTCTTTGACCTATGGTTATTCAGAAGTGTGTTACCTCATTTCCAAACATGTGGAAATTTTCTAAATGTCTTTCTCTTATTGATTTCTAATTTAGTCAGAGAACATACTTTGTATGACTTGAATCCTTTTAATCTTATTAGATTTGTTCTGTGTGTGGTCTACCTTGGTAAATATTCCATGTACACTTGAAAATAATGTATGTCATTGGACAGACTGTCCTATAAATGTCAAATATGTCGAGTTGGTTGGTATGGTTTTCAAATCTTTTATATGCTTATTGAATTTTTGTCAACTTGTTCTATAAATTATTGGGACAGATATTAAAATCTTTAACTTTAATTAGGAATTTGTTTCTCTATTATTAGGTGAATATGCATTTAGAATATTATGTTCTCTTGAGGAATTGACCCCTTAATCATTATGAAAGATTGTCTTTACCCTTGGAATATTCCTTGCTCTGAAATCTATCTTGTGTGCTAGTAAGATAAACACTCCAGATTTCTCTTGATTAGTATTAGCTTGGTATATCTTTTTGCATTCTTTTACTTTTAAGCTCTTCATGTCTTTTTTATTTGAATTGAATTTCTTTTAGGCAGTGTGTAATTGATTCTTGCTAGTAATATTTTTTTAAGCCAAGCCAACAATCTCTGCCTTTTAATTGGGATGTTTAGACCATTTACATTTAATACAGTTATCCATATGGTTAGGTTTAAATCTGTCATCTAACCATTTATTTTCTACTTATTTCATCAGTTCTTTGTTCCCTGTTCTCTCTCCTTTTGCTTCTTTTGAATTAATTGGATATTTTTTATTATTCCATTGATAGCTTTGTTTTATTGTTCGCTTATTAGCCATAACTTTGTTGTGTTATTTTAGTCATCATTTTAGACATTTTAGTGTACATATTTAACTTATCATAGTTTATCTTCAAATGATAATGTACCACATTATATATAAGAACCTTACAATAGTACAATTCCATTTCTCTCATCCTGACCTTTGTGCTCTTGTTATATATTTTAGTTTCTCAAATGTTATATACTCCACATCACATTGTTATTATTTTTGTTTAGCCAGTCAGTTATCTTTTAAAGAGATTTTCATAGTAAGGAAAAAATCATATATTGTTTACCTATGTCATTACTATTTCCAAAGTTTTTCATTCCTTTGGATAGACCCATATTTCTATCTGGAGATATCATTTCACTCTACTTGAAGGACTTTCTTCAGTTTCCTTATAGTACAGTTCTGCTGGTGATGGATCCCTTTGTGTTTTGCACGTCTTAAAAAGTGTTTATTTCGGCTGGGCTTGGTGGCTCAGCCTGTAATCCCAGCACTTCGGGAGGCCAAGATGAGTGGATTGCTTGAGCCTGCGGGTTCAAGACCAGCCCAGGCAACTTGGTGAGACCTTGTCTCTAAAAAAAAAAAAAAAAAGTGTTTATTTCACTTTCGAGCAGTATTTTTGCTGGGTATAGAATTCCTGGTTAACAGCTTTCCCCTCCCTTCATTCCTTTAACAAATATGTTCTCCTGTCTTCTCCTTTGCATGGTTTCCAATGAGAAATTTGGTGTTATCCTTCTCTTTGCTCTTTGGTACATATGTGTCTTTTTTCTCTGGTTACTTTTAAGATTTCTCCTTAAACTGGTTTAATTAATGTGATTATGATGTGCCTTGGGCTAATTTTTTTCATGTTTTTGTCTTGGTGTTTGTTGAGTTTCTTGGTTCCATCAGTCTATAGTTTGCATAAAATTTGTAAAATGTTCAGCCATTATTTCTTCAAACTTTTTCTGGCCCTTTTATTTCCTTCACGACCCCAATTATAAGTACATTAGGCTGTATGAAGTTGCCCCAACACTTATGATACCTGTTTTTTTTTTTTTAATTCTCTTTTCTTTCTGAGTTTTATTTTGGATAGTTTCTACTATGGTTCAAGTTTACTAATCTTCTATTTTGCCCACTGACATTAATCCCCTCTAGTGTTTGTTGTTTTTTTTTAATCTCACAGTTGTAGTTTTTATGTCTAGAAGCTTGATTTGCATTTTTTTCCCCAATATCTTTCATGTCTCTACCTAACTTTGGAACACAGGTAATACAATTATAATTTTTAATTGTCCTTATCTACTAATTGTAACATCTGGGTAAGTTATAGGTCAGGTTCAATGGACTGCTTTATTTACTTATTATGAGTAACATTTTTCTACCTCTTTGCTTTCTTGGTAATTTTTTATTGGATGACACACCTGGTGATATTTTTGCCTTATATGGTTGCCGAATAATTTTGTATTTCTATAAGTATTCTTGAGATCTGTTCTGGGACCAGTGAAGTCACTTATTCCTTTTGCATCTTGCTTTTAAGATTTGTTAGGTTCATTTGTCAGGTAGGACCAAAGTTATGCTCAGTGTAGGGTTAATTACGCCCTACCACTGAGGAAATGCCCTTCTGAATACGCTACCCATGCCTGGTGATTCTTGAGATTGTTAGGCTGGCTGGTGGGAGTAAGAACTGTGTGAGCACCGTTACTTACAATACTTTCAAGTAGTTCTTTCTCTCATCTCAGGTACTTTCCTCACACATATGTCCTGACTAATACTCAGCCGAAAGCTTAAGGAGGGCTTCCTCTGCAGACATCCAGATTTCCTCTGCCACGAAATTCTCTCTTCTCTGATACACTATCCTGTGAACCCCCCTGTCCACTTTGCCAGCAGATGGAGGTCCGTGGTAGAGAAAATGACAGCGTTTCTGGCATCAGTAGTCTTGTCTCAGCCAACGCTTATGAAAACAGAAGCAGAAAGATTACTATCTTAGTTCATTTAGCGTTGCTGGAAAGAACACCTGATTTGTAAAGAGCAGTGTGTTATTTCTTTCAGCTCTGGAATCTAAGAAGTCCAGAGTCAAGGGTCAGCATCTGGCTAGGGCCCTCCTTGCGGTGTCATCCATGGCAGAAGGCGGAAGGCCAAGAGAGCTCACGTGCAAGAGAGAAAGAAAGTCAAACTCACTTTTATAACCAACCCACTCTCGCTGTAACGTTAGCCCATCCCTGAGGGCAGGGGCCTCATAACCGAATCACCTTTTATTAAGCTCCACCTCCAAACACTGTTGCTTGCGTCAAGAATTCAGTTTCCGACACAGGACCGACCTTGGAGGGACACATTCAAACCACAGCAGTTACTTAACGGAAATCTGCCGTCAGCCCACTGAAAGTCCCTCCTTGACATCACGAGCGATTGTTTCTTTGAAAATAATCATAGACCGTGGGTTGGCCCAGTTCTCCTGGACATCCAGCATTTCATAAACTCCTTGTTATTGCTACAAGTTTTGTGTTATTGGGGCAGTAATGGATGTTCAGCGTTACGCAAACCCTGGTGAGTACAGACGGAAACTTCCCGGTGAACAAAGGCATGGAGCTATAGGTTCTGGGTGACTTGGTGACTCTTGATCCCTGCCGTCATGCCAGAAAGTCCCCTCCTCCCCCTACCCTGTACCTGGCCTAGTATGCAACCTTTTGAGACGGGCTTCTCCACCCAGCAGGATGCCACCATCCATCCAGGATGTCATGTGTATTTATAGTTTATTCCTTTATATTGCTGAGTAGCACTCCACGGTATGGATGTACCACAGTTGAATTGTTCACCTCAGCCTCCCAAAGTGCTGGGATTACAGGTGTGAGCCATCATGCCCAGCCAAGCAAATAAAACCCCGCCCCAGGATTCTGACTGGCCGTGTGCAGTGGGAATGGGAGGAGAGGATTGTGGACCGCGAAGAGAGGAGGCCAGGTCACGGGCAGCATGTTTTCTACCCACAGGTGCCTTCTTCATTCCCTACCTCATCTTCCTCTTTACCTGTGGCATTCCCGTCTTCCTTCTGGAGACAGCACTGGGCCAGTACACTAGCCAGGGAGGCATTACAGCCTGGAGGAAGATCTGCCCCGTCTTTGAGGGTGAGTAGCTCTGTGCCCGATTCCAGGGCCTCTTCAGGTTCCAAGGCTTATGAACCTCCTTTGGGATGACCTGAGTGATCCGTAGCAGTCCCGAGGTGAAGACGAGACGCTAAGCCTCGGTCTGTAGGCTGGATACTGAGTGAGTCACCCTGTCCATCAGAGGACGGAGGTCACTAACAGGGGTGAGGATGGGGCAAAGGTTTTAGGCTAAGTGGAATCCAAAGATACTTTAGCTATATATTTAAATATACAGCCATGGTTTTGCATTTTGAGACATATTTAGGCCGGGCTCGGTGGCTCAGCCTGTAATCCCAGCACTTTGGGAGGCCGAGGCGAGGGGATTGCCTGAACCCGCGGGTTCAAGACCCACCCGGGCAACTTGGCAAGACCTCGTCTCTACAATAAAATAAAAATTAGCCAGGCATGGTAGCGTGCACCTGGAGTTCCAGCTCTTTGGAAGGCTGAGACGGAAGGATCGCCGGAGCCCAGCAGGTCGAGGCTGTGGTGGCCAGGAGCGGCCACTGCACTCCAGTCTGGGCGACAGAGCGAGATTCCCACTCAAAAAACAAAACGAACAAACAAACAAAAAACCTGGAAGCTGACATTGTACTCTCCACAGATCTTACTCAGATTGTTCCCTATACACTCACGTGTGTGTGTGTGTGTGTGTGTGTGTGCGTGTGTGTGTGTGTATAATTCTATGTAATTTTATCACATATGTAGATCTGTGTCCCCAGAGCTGCAGTCAAGACACAAGTGCTTCATCACCACAAGGTTCTCCCCGTCACTCCTCCTCAAGTCATAACTGTCCCCTCCCCTCCCTGTCCCTCACCTCTGGCAAAACTAATCTGTTCTCTGTCTCTATAATTTTGTCCTTTCGAAAACGTTACATCAACGAATCATGCAGCATGTAAGCTTTTGCTATGCTTATTTATTCATTTACTCTATTTTATGTTTTTTTTGAGTCCGGGTCTCCCTCTGCTGCCCAGGCCGGAGTGCAGTGATACCCTCATGCCTCACTACAGCCTCGACCTCCGGGGCTCAGACAATCTTCCCACTTCAGTCTCCTGAGTAGCTGCGACCGTGGGGTGGGCACCACCAAGCCCAGCTAAGTTTTTGATTTTGGAGGTAGAGATGAGGTCTCACTATGGTGTCCAGGCTGGTCTCAAACTCCTGGGCTCAAGCAATCCTCCAGTCTCGGCCTCCCAAAGGACTGGGCTTATAGGCATTAGCCCTATACCTGGCCTAGTATGTAACCTCTTGAGACTGGTTTTTTCACTTAGCAGGATGTCACCCATTCATTCAGTATGTTGTGCATATTGATAGCCTGTTCCTTTTTATTGCTGAGTGGTATTCCACGGTATAGATGTGTCACAATTGGTGTAATCACTCACTCACCTAAGAACATTTAGGTTTTTGCAGTTTGGGACATTTTAGTTCAATATTGCTTTATCTTTCTATAGAGTTATCCAAATCTATTAACATAAATATGCAGTGTATGTTCTCTTTTTTGTTCGTTTTATTTTTCATTTTATATACAAACATCATTCAATGCTTGCATAAACTTCAGCACCTGTATATATTATAATTTACTTAAAAATTCTCTGTTTGGGAATTTTTTCTTATTTTCTAGTACTTTTTTTTTTTTTTTTTTGAGTTGGAACCTCACTCGGTCGCCCAGACTGGAGTGCAGTGGCCGCTCCTGGCCGCCGCAGCCTCGACCTGCTGGGCTCCGGCGATCCTTCCGCCTCAGCCTTCCGAGCAGCCGGAATTACAGGCACGCGCTACCATGCCCGGCTGATTTTTTGATTTATTGTAGAGATGAGGTCTCGCCTGCCCAGGCGGGTCTCGAACCTGTGGGCTCAGGCAATTCACTCACCTCGGCCTCCCAAAGTGCTGGGATTACAGGCTGAGCCACCGAGCCCGGCTCTATTACTTTTAATTTTAATTTTTTTTTTTTTTTTGAGTCAGAGTCTCACTCTATCGCCCAGGCTGGAGTGCAGTGGCACGCTCATGGCCACCCCAGTGTCGACCTGCTAGGCTCTGGCGATCCTTCCGCCTCAGCCTTCCAAGTAGCCAGGACTGCAGGTGCGCGCCACCACAGCCAGCTAATATTTTGATATATTGTAGAGATGAGATCTCACTAAGTTGCCCAGGCTGCTCTCCAACCCCTGGGCTCAGGCAATTCTCTCGCCTCAGCCTCCCAAAGTGCTGGGATGACAGGCCCGAGCCACTGTGCCTGGCTACTTATAAAATTGTTAATATTCTGCTACTATGTATATTTGTTCAGATAGCTCCCACCCTCCGTTCCTGGAATTATTTCTTCTTTTATTTTTATTTATTTATTTATTTATTTGAGTTGGAGTCTCACTCTGTCGCCCAGACT